TATTTGTGGCAAATGATTGGTATGACTCCCGCCAATAGGTCCACTCCTTTCCGATACACCAATCGACTCACCACTACTATTGTCGCTATAAATATAAGATTTCCACTTTTAGTAGTGCCGTAGTTATACAGACATAACAATAATTTAGGTCTAACTCTAATTCAATTAAACTTTGTTTGAATTGGTTGTCAAACATGAGTTATATCTCTCTAATTAGTTAATCAATACTTAATATAATGAATGACTAATTGTAAGTACACTTAAACTGATAGCAAAATACTCGAAACAAACTATAAGAGCACACTTCCGGTAACTTAAAGTCCTTGAACTAAATTAAATAAATGATGATATCTATAACATTGGGTTAATAATTATGTGAAGGGTTTGTCTTGTGGTTTGGAAAGAGGATCATATGATTGAATGCAAACAAATCAGTGATGAAGTGATTGACAGATACGGACTGGTATTGGGATGAGTGGTGTGCTTATCGGTGGACGGCATGAATATATCGGTGTCGACGGCGTTGGGGATCACAGATATGCGGTTCGGGTCGACGCCAGCCCTNTTAAGAATGCTGTGGTAAGTGATGACCAAAACTAAGATTTATTTAACCAAAATTAAGACTTCATGCGATTTTGTATACAATTTTCAAAACTACTGTCAGATACGAGACATGTGTGAAGTGTACGACAAGTTTAACGCAGAGATCCGCGAGACCTATACGACCGCCGACTCCCAGTGCCGTACCATTGATGCCGAGATCACAAGGGATACCATTTCACAGAAGTGCCAGACATTCACAGTCATTAAAATAGCGGACAAAACTTGTGGCAAATATATCCCGTGTTTTGATCTCAAGTCTGTGGCCTCTCTGGTGGCCAACAGGACAACCAAAAGCCCTTCCGATAGGCCTATCGCAGGAAGTAATGCCAGTTTAGACCCAACTCATGGGGACAGCAGTGAATCCCGTGGTTATGAAACGGATGTCCCAAAGACACCAGATGTAATGAGCACTTCAAGTGGTGATGATAGCCATCACACGACACATAACGATACGGATTACCCGGATGTTCACAGCGCTGGAAGTAGTGATGAATTGACTATTCATGACATCAATGACTTGGATGTGAGTCCAACCACAGAACCAGATGTCTCAGACGGACCCCATGAGGCCAGAACTGGACGGGTGGGTACGACTACCACCAAATCCATGCGTTCAGTCAAGTCAGGCACCGGTCCCTCCGATTCCAAGTCATACCTGTCGCTCGTAATCATATTGTCGTTATTATTGGTATAGTTATGGTCGCAAACATCATAAGTAAGTATTTTTTGAGTTACAATCAGTTGTATGTGTTTTGTAATTGCATTCAAATTATCTTTAAAACAGTGTATTTCATGGAAAGGGAGTGAAAACATTACAAAAGTATCCACAACTCCCGACTTAATCCAAACAAAAGTTGATACAAATTATTATTTATTTAGTCTATTATTTAGTTTTCATTTCAATGAGTATTGTTTATTTCTGTAATACTATTTATATTCCTATAAATATTCAAAATTTTACAAATTATTTATCTAATTTTTCAGTAATGTATAGAATCTTTAGGGCTCAGCACTCATCTCTCCCTCCCTCCCTCCCACCCTGGGACTAATACCCCACAAATCTATACTACTCTATAGAAATTCAATAAAAATACAATAATTGACTCACGATTTTGTTTATTCATTTGAATAACACAAAAATAACTTTATTAACATTTCTAGCTTTTAATTATAGTGACTCACAGTTAAGTCTTTTAATTTTCAGTTTTTATTCAGTTTATTATAAAGTCCTACAAATGAAATCATTTTTATCGCAATTATTATATTTATAGTCTTTTTGCGGACTTGTCAAATTTAAGGGTTTAACATTTACAAATGTAATTATAATGATTGAACTGGATTCAAGTCACGAATACAGACAAAGCTTTATGGATTAGAAAAGTTTGAGTCCATGTTATAGTTGAGTCCGCCATCGATGACCAGATTCTGACCGGTGATGAACTCGGCATCACTGGAGGCCAGGAATACCACACCTTTGGCGATGTCTGAGGGCTGACCTATTCTGGCCAATGGTGTGATTTTGACGGTCTTGTTATACTGGGCCACAGCCACCGGGTCTGGCGTATTCAACGGGTGGGACAACACTGAGCCGGGACTGCAAACATTTATTATAACCTTTAATTAAACTTTTATATTATATGTCAAATGCAGACCTGATTGCATTCACTCGGATCAGTGGTGCCAACTCTAGCGATAATACCCGGGTAGACATATCCAGGCACTCCTTAGCCAGTCCGTAAGCTAACATACCTTTTTGCTATTGAGTTCTTTATGGATTAGAAAAGTTTGAGTCCATGTTATAGTTGAGTCCGCCATCGATGACCAGATTCTGACCGGTGATGAACTCGGCATCACTGGAGGCCAGGAATACCACACCTTTGGCGATGTCTGAGGTCTGACCTATTCTGGCCAATGGTGTGATTTTGACGGTCTTGTTATACTGGGCCACAGCCACCGGGTCTGTCGTATTCAACGGGTGGGACAACACTGAGCCGGGACTACAATACAAACATTTATTATAACATTTAATTAAACTTTTAAATTATATGTCAAATGCAGACCTGATTGCATTCACTCGGATCAGTGGTGCCAACTCTAGCGATAATACCCGGGTAGACATATCCAGGCACTCCTTGGCCAGTTCGTAGGCTAACATACCTTTTTGCTATTGAGTTAATTTGTATTTAAATTAATTGTAATTAAATTAAGTTAACTAGTTGATAAATGACATACCGGTCTCTGTATGATAACACTGGATATACTAATGATAGATCCCTTTGTTTTTTGCAGGTATGGGACGGCATGTTGTATGAGCTGTAGGGCCGCCGTGACATCGATTTTCTCATACGCCGCGAAAGTGTCCCAAAATTTTTTGTCCATAAGATTAGCCGTCAAATAAATGCCCGCATTATTGACCAATACATCCAATTTGGTGAACGTCTTGATGGTCTCATTCACTAGTTTTTCCAATTCATCCGTTTTTGTGAGGTCTGCCGCCAGTCCTAATGGCTATTGAAATCTAGTTTTAATAAATTGTTTAGTTTTTGTTTAAAAGTGTATTTACTTTAAGCTTTTGTGGCGATAAGTCTTGAGCCTCTTTGACCACTCGCTGTATGTCCGCATCCTTTGTACCGGTGACCACAACATTGGCGCCCAATGCCGAGAATAGTTTGACGATTTGTTCTCCGATTCCAGAACTACTTCCGGTCACCAAAACTACTTTTCCCGTGAAATTTCGTGAACCCCTCACCTCGTCGTAGATATCATTGGATTGAAGTGCGAATACGTTTGTAATAGCAATGAATGCTAATAAATATATGGCAAACATTATGTTTAGTTATTTTTGGCAAATATAATTATTTGATAACTGCTACCTAATCAATAATAGAGTAATGCGTTAATTATGTGATCTTATATACTAGCGTTTGGTATAATTTTGGTCCAATCCCAAATACAATGTGATAATTTCCACATAAAACCATAACATACCTGAGCATTTGATACTTTGAACACATTTTAAAATTAAAAAACAATAAGAGATGGGTGATATGAGATGATAATCATAGGCCTTGATAATCATTATTTAGAAAATATGCTATTTCTCACAAAATTAAACAGAAATGAATATAATTGTGGGCACATTATGCTTGATTAATCTGTTTTATATTACAGAATATATAGATTTCATAATAATATTGTGTAATAGGATTTTAGGAATATTATTGTCTAAACAAATACCAAAACATTTTTATCTTACTTTTTTATCAGACCTTGATATATGGTACAATGATAAATTATATATTTTTAGTACATATGAAAAGTAAAATCATGTTATAATCTTATCTTTGCAATAATGTGTGAGAAATCCGACACATTTAATGGATACAAACATTTGTAGATCTGAAATTCAAGACTTAATAGATAAGGTGCATAATTAAATATACTTTAATGTGTAATAATAAAACAGTTTCAATATAAATTATATCATGATACAGTAGTTTAAAATAGTAATCGTATGGAAAACATATAAATTTGAATAAGATTGACTTTAGTTATAAGCACTATAAATACACACAAAAAATATAATTTTGATTTTATTCTATAATTTAAAACCTATGAGAATATATCCATAAAGTTGCCTGGTTCAGTATAGCCAAAGCCCCCGTCAATGACAATATTAGCGCCGGTTATAAACTGGGCATCACTTGAGGCCAGGAATGCCACCCCTTTGGCCACATCTAACGGCTGTCCCAATCTCTCCAGTGGTGTCAGAGTTGTTATCTTATGAACCATTTTTTTAATCAGATCTACGCTTAGATCCATTGATGGCACTTGAGTTGCACCGGGACTGGAGTTTACGTGAATAATGTTTTAATAATTTTATATTAGATAAAATTTTTAGAAAAACTCATTCAAAAAAGTTTTCAAAATAATTTATCCATTACTTAATAGTATTGACACGAATCCCTTGCGGACCCAATTCAAGGGCCAATACCTTTGTCAACATATCGAGGGCTGCTTTTGCGGAACTGTACGCCAAAAACGGATTCGACTGTATTTTGATTGAATTGTTTTAATAAATTATTTAGTTTTGTCTCAATTATTACCGGATGTAAAGCAGCAATACTTGAAATGTTAATAATAGTGCCGTTAGTTTTGGTCATAAATGGAAGCGAGAGGTGAATGGTGTGGACAATGGCTCGCAGATCAGTATTGAACACCTGATCAAAGACTTGCATAATGTTTGCGTCACTGATGGGAGACATGGGGTAAATGCCGGCGTTGTTCACCAATACATCCAGTTTGCCAAATGTGTCAATAGTTTTGTTGATAAGAGTATTCAAATCATCATTTTTGGTGAGATCTGCCACCACTTGTAACGGCTATACAATTAAGACAATTCATTTAATTGATAATTAATTATACTCTGAAATAATACCTTCAGTCCATAGGGAGATAGTTGTTGTACTTCTTGAGCCACTTTCTCAATCTGTGTTTCATTCCTACCGGTGACCACCACTTTGGCACCTAATATGGAGAATAGTTTGACAATACCCTCACCGATACCAGTGCTCGATCCGGTCACTAAAACTACTTTTCCCGTGAAGTTACGTGAGTTTTTCACATTTTCGTAGTCTTTTATATCGAAATCATTTGTGTTATTATTATCTGCATTTACTATTGAGAGTAATACTAACAAAAGTATTGACTTCATTTTTAATATTAGTTAATGTTATTAATGTTAGAGTAGAAATAATTGTATTATACAAGAATTTTTGTAGACATTCAGCATTTATTCATTGAAACAAATGTTATTTTCTCACAACTGCTACAATCCAATAAAGATATAAATAATATTATTGTACTTTTAATATTAGAAATAAATAAACATTCATTATACGATATACAGTATCGGAACAAGATTTAATTATTTTTAAAAGTAATGTTATTATAATTTTTAAAGTTAAACAAATTAAGCAAATTATTTAAATACAATTTTACATGTATAATTTTTAAATACTATGCCATATAAGTCTATAGTATTAAACTAAATATTTTTTTTTCATTTCTTACTTACATAAAGATATTGAATTTTAATGCGATAAACTTCAGATTTTATGATATAAGTTGCATAATATCACCTGGTACATTATACTCTAGGCCACCATCTATGACCAGATTAGCACCAGTAATATACTGGGCATCAGTTGAGGCCAGAAATGCCACCCCTTTGGCGATATCCAAGGGCTGACCGATTCTGTGAAGTGGTGTCAACTTTATGAAACTTTCTATCATTTTCTTCACTATTGGGTCCTTTGGGTCCATAACAGGTGTTTGAGTTGAGCCGGGACTACACGCAACAAATAATTGTTAAAAATAAGCACACATTGAGTTTATATCCACCTAATTGTGTTGATACGTATGCCTTGTGGTCCCAATTCAAGGGCCAATTCATTGGTTACCATATCGAGAGCCGCTTTCGCTGTACTGTACGCCAAAAATGGATTTGACTGTTGGATACAAATTGTTTAATTAAAATCTATAAGTTTATATGGATAATCTAATTAATTATTTGTTATAAATACCGGTCGGAAACCCACAAGACTTGAAATGTTAATAATAGTGCCGTTAGTTTTGGCCAAATATGG